AATGTTTCTTTTGCAGTTTTATGTAATGCTATGGCGAGTATACATTATTATTCCGAATGTTTTTCAATAAAGCAACCCGAAACACATAAACTCCTAACACGATCTGACATGTTATACGAAAATATAAACATTAGATTATGATAACTGATATCTATTAATACGGTAGCCGGTAAGTTGAATTAATATTATAAAATTACTACAAAATAACTAAAATCATTATTCTTGGTTATTTAGTTTGGTCCAAATTCGAACATAAAATAACTATAAAAAAACAGTGTTTTTATATTTTTGAGATTGTTTGGTTATAGAATAACCCACTTACGTGGTACATTGTTTTAAATTTTCAATGCTTAGCTATACAAGTTGAAAATTTTATATATTTTTAACTACAAAACCATTTTTAAATTTAAATTTAATAAATTATGTCAAAATTCAAACGTTGAACGCCTAAATAAAAATAAAATTGTGCTAATGTATTTTTAATATTTTTCAACTACTATTGAAATAATATATCAGGAACCTTGTATTGAATTTGAACGCTTTTTGACCCAATAAAATTTAAATTTAAAATTTACGTAATCAGTTCAAAAAGAGTCAAACTATTTTCAAAATGTATGGTGTATAGAAAATGAAAATATAAATATTGAGTGAAATTTTGATTAACCTACAGTTATTCGTTTTAGAATAACAGCAAAATAAGGAAATCGCCACATGAAAAATCGGGTGAATACTCGTATATCCAATCTCGTAAAAATTTGAACTTCAATCTCTCAACTCTCATAAATATTGAATTTGACCTGCTTGTAGACAATTTTTTTTTTGATAAATGTAGACAAACTTATGAATAATCTTGTACTATATTTTAAAATCTTGGATTTAAAAAGAAATATATTATGAATAATTTGTTAATTTTCGTAAATTTCCGTATTTTGTATAGATAAGAACTTTGAATGCTAAAAAAAATAACTGTGACTAGGATTATTAATATTTTTCAAACGCCATTGTTACAATATATTAATAGCCTTGTATTATTTTTTCAAGTTTATCGTTTTTTATGTTGTTTTTCACCGCGTGTTTGAAATATATTGGGACTCCCGAATGTACCAACTAGATTCACTTTCACATCTAACTTTTGAAGAAAATTGAAGCTGTTTTACTGCCCCAAAGTGTGGTGACAGACACAAAAATCAAAAAAAATTAAAAAATTAACACACATCAATACATGAACACATCAAAAAATATCAAAAAAAAAAAGAAAATTAATAAATATTTGAAAACTTTATACACGTATACAGTAAACACTCATCATTTATACTGAAGTAATAATACAATTTTTTTAACAGTAGATTAAAATCCAAATTTATAACCGGGATAATTTTATTTCTATTTTGGATTTCCTATTTTATGTTTAATAGTGGGTATCTATACTTACTATTAAAATAATATTAAAAAGTTTAAATGTGTATACATATACCTACACATTTTAGATTCTGAGATGAGTGATGAATGTATTGATTTTACAATGATGTGTGTTTTTTTTTGTGTATGTTATCACGGTTTGGGGCAGTAAAAGTGCTTCGATTTTCTTCAACAGTATCTTGTTCGAAGATAAAGTGAATGTAGTTGGTGTATTCGGGGTTCTAAAATTTAGAATTACCAATAATTTTCAAAAGCACCAGGAAAAACAACATCAAAATTAATTAAAAACTGGAATTTTATAATAATATAATAATATAAATAATAATATAATATAATAATATAATCGGTTTTCCACAAAATCGATTTTGGTTTTTGGTATAACTCTAAAACAAATGAACGTATATACATGAAATTTTCACTGGTGGTTTATATTTGCCATTTCTATACACGATAAAAATTTCAAAAAACTTTATTTGTTTTTCAGTTTCCAATTTTATTAATCATTTTTCTACGAATGTCAATAAAAATTTATTTGTTGGGTAAAAAAAACTTGAACATTACTATTTACTACTTTATTGTTACAATAACATTTGAAACATATTATAAATCCTTAGTCTCAGTTTTTGTTTGTAATTAAATTTAAGTTCAAATCTTGACACAATACGGAAAAATCATGAAAATTAGCAAATTATATTAATTCTTTTTGAGCTGTTTATGGGCATTGTCAGTTTTCAAGTTTTTTTGGTTTTTTTCTTTTATTGTCACTAAAATGTCATTTGTTGGGTGAAAAATGTTATGCAAGGCTCCTGGTATATTGTTACAATATTAGTTTAAAAATATAAAAAATTTATAATCACAATTTTTTTTTATAAGCATTTAAAGTTCGAATTTTGAAAAATGTATCAAATTTAAAAATTATTGTGGATACCACCCGTATTGGACAATACGTGGTAAACCAACTATACGCCTTACCCTCGTTTTCTCTAGTTAATCACACTCTCTACATATTAATTATAATGGCACTGTTAACTTTGAGGTACGATGATATGCGCTTGTAAATTCTTAGTTCGTTCCTATCTAGTTGAAATGACTCAAAGATTACATATACCTTGGCACTATTCGGTTTAGTAAAACTTCATTGACACATAGTACGTATGTCCCGGCGCTGCTCCTATAAAAAGTAAGAACTTAAGAATGACTGAAATTATTATAAACTCGGGTTTTCAAGTCGGAAACACTTTTATCAAATTAAAACAAACATAAATAAATCACTAAGCGAAATTTGATTGCCTACTACGTTCAACGTTTCACACGTACAACCGTCGTACCTACCTACGTCTTCACCGAATCAATCAGCGACAAGACTCCCCGTGCCTGCGTGTACGGCGGTGTTATAATATAGTAAAATATTATTGCTGCCTCAGCACATATTATATTGCTTCACTGGCCTGACCTATGTCAATAATTTACAATTTAAAATATTCCCACCTATATTACATATGTTTAAATAATAATATTTTGACCACTGTCTACAATATACGACATTATCAATTATTTTGTAGTTAAAAATTTATAAAATTTTCAACATTTATAGCTAAAAATTGAAAATTTAAAACAAGGTTATATATAAATTACTTTATTCACAATTATATTATCAAATAATCAAATTCAAGAGGAAATATACAATTTAATAATAATAATAACTATATACTTACATTAAAAGAATCATCAAGTGGTTCAAAATAGGTTACTTTTCCTTTAATTTTTGTGGTATTGACAGACGTTTTGCTTAGGTAAAAATTAAATTTAATTAGGCCATTCGATAATTCACAACGTAAAAATGCTAAGATATTCATTTTGTATTCAACCTGAAGAAAATTATAAAATCGTTTTAAGCAGTATCATATTATGTATATATAGAATTAGAGGACATTCTTTTAGTACAATGTGGTGGTTGCTTCATAGACAAATAGACCAAATTAAGAACTTACAACCGGTAATTGTTTTAAAAACAAAGGTTTATAAATTGTTGAATCCAAATTTACAGCAACTACAAAAACCAGAAGATAAAATAAACACTTTGTAGAAGGAGAAAATACGAGGTAAGGGAAGGTAATGGTTTTTGGTGAGATACGTGTGTATTATAATAAATATTGGAAATTTGTTGGGTCGCCCTACCACTGTGTTATACCTACCTAATATTATTTATATTATCAGCTTTATTATAATATATGTCAAATCACTTACCTTGTGACGATTGCCTTCTGTGATTGAATTGTATTTCTCCGGGGTGGTGTTCGATGATTGATATCACTTTGACTTTACAGGGGCGTACTCAAGGGGGGTCGTGGGGTTTGACCCCCCCGCCCATGACCTTACTAACCGATGCAATTTTGTACGTTCTTGTTTATACATAATATAATTCACAGGAGCAATTTTATAAAGAAAAATTTTTAAAAAGGGAAAAAATAAACAAATATATTTATTTTCAATTTTATATCAACATGCATTATACAACGATTACAAGCATTATCTGTTAAGAACTGTATTATGATAACCAGATAACATTTAAATCAAACATACAAGGTGTATTGATAAGGTGTCGTCACTCTGGACCCCTATAAGTATACACTCTTGATTGAAACTATTACCACAGTTCTATAGTCACCAGAGCGCGCTTTCTGTCCTACGAAGGCCAGACATTAATATGACTATAATAATTGGACATATTTTTAGTTCAGTTGTTAGTTAATGCATAATGATATATTTGGTTAATATTTGACTGTGTATTGAGCAACCAACCTTTGTCAAAAAATTTGTTTATATATTTCTTCAATAAATATAAAGTATGTTAGAAAAATAAACAGTGAAAAATGTATATGTAGTTTTCAAATTGAAATGCAACTTTTAAAACATGATATTTTACCGGGACAGCTAGTTATATTTAGATATTTTACACTATAATCTAGTACAGTACTTCTCAATTTTTTTTGTCATGAGGCTCCCTAAATTTAATGTAAAACTGTCAAGGCCCCCTTAATCAAAATTATTAATTGTTTTTTCTAAATTAGGTATATACTAAAATTACATGTACTATTTCACACAGATAAATTATTAAAATGTATAGTAATTTAATATACTTTTGAAAAATATTAATGATAGTATTAAAATTTAAGTATTTATTCTTTTTCCATAAACGCTTAAAGTCAAAAAATAAAAATAAAAATAAAATAACAACATTTTTTACTAGAGTGCCTGGAAGTACTAAGTACATTGAACCCTATAATAATCTTAAAAGAAAACATGAACACGTTAAAAAATCGGAATCGGAATTTTGTTCTTTAAATAAACATTTTTCATTTTTGAAATTTATTACGCCCCTAAAAATGATCATATTTATTTTTACAAAATCGATTTTGTTTTTTTGGACAACTCTGGATGTTGGCTGAAATTATTCGGTATTGAGTTTGTTTAGATAAGTTATTACCTAGAGATATGTAATAAAATGTATTAAGTTATTTTAATATTTTTAATAAGGTGAACAATATTTTATTTTCTTACACACGTAATAGACGCACATTATGGCAGACGAAAAAAAGCTTGTGAGTTATATATTATTACTTTTTAGTTTAACGATAGGTGTTTCACTTAAAAGTGAGCAAACCGATATTAATATCTTGTTTTTAATAAATATTATAATAGATGAGCGACGACGGTCAGTCTGCAGAAGACGAGACGCTTCTTAGTGCGTATTTAGACTTTATGAATACCAAGACCGAGTTAAACAGTATCGAAAAATGTAGTTATATAAATGGCCACGGTACATCGTCAGACGATGCTGTCGATGAATTCGAAATATTTAACAGAGCTTTTACAAAAATCGAAAACGATGCGAATAGCAAGCCACTCTATAAGAGCATTAGGGCGGATATAAAGGAATTGTCGCCGATAAATGTCAACTGTTGGCTAAATGCAGACAGAGGGCTCACGAAAAAAATCTAAAACAGGAAATCTACTGGGCCACAGTGGAGAAACGCGTCGACGACGAAATGTCTGCAGACACCAAAGTAGAAAAGTTATCGTTTAAGGACGTGTGGGAGGACGTGGTGCACATGAAATCTACTAAACAGTTTTGTAAGTATTTGATGGAAAACCCAGATTTGGAAAAGCCAAAATATCTCGCGGACGTCGGGTATTTTAACAACAATCCGAATACTAGGAAAAAAGATTGCGATCGAAAATCTTCACACAAAAATATAAAAAAGTCGTATATTCCTCGTTTCTAGTATTTTGTTTGCTGTTGAAAAACCGACGTCTACGACAGTTGTTTGTATTTTCTAAATCCAGGATACCCTTCAAATACTAACAAGATTCTTTGGTACTTTTACCAGCACTTTATAGCAGATCTTCCATCGTACGTCCTTAAACGATAACTTTTCTACTTTGGTGTCTGCAGATATTTCGTCGTCGACGCGTTTCTCCGCTGTGGCCCAGTAGATTTCCTGTTTTAGATTTTTGTCGTGAGCCATCTGTCTGCCTTTAGCCAACAGTTAACATTTTATCAGCTACAATTCCTTTATATCCACCCTAATGCTCTTATAAAGTGGCTTGCTGTTCGCATCGTTTTCGACTTTTGTAAAAGCTCTGTTGAATATTTCGAATTTGTCGACAGCATCGTCCGACGATGTACCGTGGTTATTTTACCACGACTGCCTTTAGCAAAAGTTTACATTATTTTACAACTATTTTATATCCATGTTAATGCTTTTATAAAGTGGCTTGTTATTTGCGTCATTTATGACCATATACTAACCATATTATTAAATTCAGTGTGCACTGTGCAAGCTAAACCCGTATTTTAACCATTGTGAAAAATCAAAACATGTAATATTACGTTATGAACTGTGTATTGTAAATAATAAAAAAAAATATAATAAACATTGATTGGTAGTTATACATTTATTTTATAATTAATAAATAATTATTTTGTATATTATGGAACTGCTGCGGTATTATGATTTTCTGGTGACAAATTTGTCAGGAAAATGATTAAAGCCAACAACAACTGTATGAGCAAAAAAAAAATGATAATACATGTAACCTATTAAGGTCAATATCAGGAATTTGATTTACAATATTAACTAATTTATTTTAATGGTTTAATAATAGTGAGTGAAAGAAAAATCAAGTTAATATCAACTCTACTCAAATGGTGTTTTACAAGAAATAATACACGACGGTGGCTATGTAGTAACTTTTAGAAATGTAATATTATAAAAGGTATACAACAGGTACCTATGTAAAAATATTTTTGAATTCGTTTTTCTAATAAATTTATCGTTACCTATTTTGAAATTTAGCTTCGCCGTTCCGATCACTGTTGTTATTATATTTGGCATTATATTCTATAGAAAAATCTATTATATATAATATAAAGAGCCGCGGGATGATAAAGTTTGAATAACTCTGATATATATATATATATATATTTATATATTTGTATACCGTATATGAATACGATTTGGGTTAATTATAATATAGTTTATTATATTGTCAGCTAACCTAACCTAAGTATAAAGTTTGTTAAAATATATATAATCAGATTAATCGTTAACACGCAGCAAGGAAAAAAAACGATTAAAGCGCAAACCGTAATAATCACTATTCACTGGTACACTTCTTTACGTACCTAAAAAAAACCAACATACATGTGAGCTATAAGTATACCAGGCCCTATTTTTTAGTGAACCCCGACACGAAGTGTGTAGTCCGAAATTAGAAGTGTGCACTACGGATTTGATAAGTGTGTACTAATGAATAACACTATAAAAATAAATAGATTATAATTGGTAGGTAATAATGTACAATATAGTATATCTACATAGCTACAAATGCACATCTACAATGCTTTGTGCCTTTACAAATTGTATGATGGTTTTTAGTTAAGCAACCAACAATAAATTATGTTATTTATATAGTTTTAAATTGTGAAATCGGTGATAATTGATAATTGATAAAATAACCTATACCTACTTTACTTTTACTTTATAGTTAATCTATATTTTTAGTAGAAAATTAGAATTCGTGAAAGATACTCTAAAACTTTAAAATGCACAAAAATGTAAATTAACCGGTATTTTAAGATGTCCTACCTAAAGACGATCAACGTGTTAAAATACCAGAAATAAAAAATTACTACTCTCAAGAGGACGCTACCCATAAATTTGTTGTCTCCGTCTTACACACACACACACGAGTACACGACATAGCAAATTGCCGTTCACTAGTTTCAATAGTGTGCTATTATAAATCTTTAAGGTAAAAACATTATTTGTGCTTAAGCAATTGCTGATTTTTCGAAATTTTCATTTTCAAGCAAAATATCTGTAGGTATGTGAAACATCAAAAATTAAATACCTATCCATTTAAATTTACTACAATTTTTTTTTATTTTTTAGAGTCTTATATAAATTCAAATAACAATATAATACAAAACCTATAAGCGAAATCCTTCAAAATATTATCCTCTATAATAATTTTTGTAATACCCGAGAGCCGGACCTGTTTTTACCAGAAGATTACGCAGTGCGTTTGTTTGAGGGAGAAACCAAATGACTTCCCAGGGACGGACTTCGGCCCGGGTGGAGAAGATTTGAGCGGCCCACAATTTATTTTTGTACGATCAAAAAATTTGCAGCTCGCTTATCATATAGGCTAAAATTTTTTGGGTGCTAAGGGTGTTTAGCACAGCCAATATATTCTAGGAATAAATAATACCTAGGTATCATATAATTCATAATATTATATTATATCATTTTTAAAATCTTTTAATCTTAAAATCTTTTATATAATTTCTTTGCGTCTATTCTTAGATATTACTGAGACAAAAATGTATTAAGTACTTTAAATTTAAATGTATAAATTCAACATTTGATGCATAATATATACACAATTACACAAGTTACACGTAGGTACGCAGTTTTTTGATCGTTAACTTCACTTGCTCTCTATTCAGTCGTTCAATGTTTTCAATTAAATAACGAATAACCATTGAGTATTGACGATTAAGATAGGTAATACAGTATAAATTATATAAACAAAACAATATTGGTCGACGGTCGGTCGTCGGACGACGGCGGGCGGCGGCCTACGGGAATTTCGTTATTTCTAATTACAGCTCATGACTTCTTGTAATAATATTATGGTGGGGTGCATCTCGCGGGTCAGGGAAAATTACTTTCATTATATGCTGATAAGTAGGGCTGGGATTTTAATGTCCTAAAAAACCCCGAAAAATACCCTGAAAAAAATGCTTTTATGATCCAAACATTAAATTGTAACCTACCAAAACCTACCAAAAATAAATTGTTTTCAGTTACATTTTAACAAATTGATATTTACTTCTCTACATTGAATCGCTAATGAACTATTATGAAGGTTTGGATACCTTTAGTTATCGTAATTTATCGTAATAAATTTAATTTTTACCTAAGCAAAACGTCTGTCAATACCACAAAAATTAAAGGAAAAGTAACCTATTTTGAACCACTTGATGATTCTTTTAATGTAAGTATATAGTTATTATTATTATTAAATTGTATATTTCCTCTTGAATTTGATTATTTGATAATATAATTGTGAATAAAGTAATTTATATATAACCTTGTTTTAAATTTTCAATTTTTAGCTATAAATGTTGAAAATTTTATAAATTTTTAACTACAAAATAATTGATAATGTCGTATATTGTAGACAGTGGTCAAAATATTATTATTTAAACATATGTAATATAGGTGGGAATATTTTAAATTGTAAATTATTGACATAGGTCAGGCCAGTGAAGCAATATAATATGTGCTGAGGCAGCAATAATATTTTACTATATTATAACACCGCCGTACACGCAGGCACGGGGAGTCTTGTCGCTGATTGATTCGGTGAAGACGTAGGTAGGTACGACGGTTGTACGTGTGAAACGTTGAACGTAGTAGGCAATCAAATTTCGCTTAGTGATTTATTTATGTTTGTTTTAATTTGATAAAAGTGTTTCCGACTTGAAAACCCGAGTTTATAATAATTTCAGTCATTCTTAAGTTCTTACTTTTTATAGGAGCAGCGCCGGGACATACGTACTATGTGTCAATGAAGTTTTACTAAACCGAATAGTGCCAAGGTATATGTAATCTTTGAGTCATTTCAACTAGATAGGAACGAACTAAGAATTTACAAGCGCATATCATCGTACCTCAAAGTTAACAGTGCCATTATAATTAATATGTAGAGAGTGTGATTAACTAGAGAAAACGAGGGTAAGGCGTATAGTTGGTTTACCACGTATTGTCCAATACGGGTGGTATCCACAATAATTTTTAAATTTGATACATTTTTCAAAATTCGAACTTTAAATGCTTATAAAAAAAAATTGTGATTATAAATTTTTTATATTTTTAAACTAATATTGTAACAATATACCAGGAGCCTTGCATAACATTTTTCACCCAACAAATGACATTTTAGTGACAATAAAAGAAAAAAACCAAAAAAACTTGAAAACTGACAATGCCCATAAACAGCTCAAAAAGAATTAATATAATTTGCTAATTTTCATGATTTTTCCGTATTGTGTCAAGATTTGAACTTAAATTTAATTACAAACAAAAACTGAGACTAAGGATTTATAATATGTTTCAAATGTTATTGTAACAATAAAGTAGTAAATAGTAATGTTCAAGTTTTTTTTACCCAACAAATAAATTTTTATTGACATTCGTAGAAAAATGATTAATAAAATTGGAAACTGAAAAACAAATAAAGTTTTTTGAAATTTTTATCGTGTATAGAAATGGCAAATATAAACCACCAGTGAAAATTTCATGTATATACGTTCATTTGTTTTAGAGTTATACCAAAAACCAAAATCGATTTTGTGGAAAACCGATTATATTATTATATTATATTATTATTTATATTATTATATTATTATAAAATTCCAGTTTTTAATTAATTTTGATGTTGTTTTTCCTGGTGCTTTTGAAAATTATTGGTAATTCTAAATTTTAGAACCCCGAATACACCAACTACATTCACTTTATCTTCGAACAAGATACTGTTGAAGAAAATCGAAGCACTTTTACTGCCCCAAACCGTGATAACATACACAAAAAAAAACACACATCATTGTAAAATCAATACATTCATCACTCATCTCAGAATCTAAAATGTGTAGGTATATGTATACACATTTAAACTTTTTAATATTATTTTAATAGTAAGTATAGATACCCAC